GTGATGAAAACAAAAATTTAAAACTTAATCTTGAAAAGTTTCAAAACCAAAATGAAGAACTTCAAAAGAAAATTGAAATTTTGATTAAAGAAAAAGACAAGGCCAAACGAGGGGCTTTGGAAATGTTTTACAATAGCTATAACTCAACAAAAGAATGGGATAACCAACCAAAACTAACGAAAGAAGGTATTGGTTATGGTCAATCCACAAACTTGATGAGTATGGCTAAAAACCATTTTAATACCTCTAAAACTAACCCATCAAACCAAGCCTCAACTTCTAAATCAAAAGTAAGGGCTTGCCATTATTGCATGCAAGCTAACCATATTGTGACAAAGTGTCCAAACAAATGGTTAGTTGAAATGCGTAAATTAAAATGGGTCAAGAAGGGTTCTAACCGGTCAGAATCCAAGAATATTGGATATCAAAAGAAACCCTTTTTGCAGGAAAATAAAAGAAATGATGGTGGATACTATTTCTTTTATTATGACGAAAAACGAAAAGTCTATATACCACTTCCGGAACCTACCAAGACGAAACCCGTATATCGACATAGGGTATTCGTCGATTGGAACCCCAAACCTAAGTCAAAAGTAAATTCCTTTTTGACTAGGTGAAAAATACCACTTGGGTTGTGGATAGTGGATGCTCGAGGCACATGACCGGAACAAGAGGATGGTTCACAAATCTCAAGGAGAAAAGTCATGGACATGTGACCCTTGGATACAAATCCCAGAAGAATGTCATTGGTAAAGGTATGATAGGTATTTCAAGTGATTTTTCAATAAATGATTTTTATCTTGTTGATTGCCTAAAATTTAACTTAATTAGCATAAGCCAACTTTGTGACAATGGCCACAAAATTGAGTTTAATGCAAATTCCTGCGTTTTATATGGTCAAAATAAAGATGAAATCATTTTTGAGGCTAAAAGAGATGGAAACTTATACAAGTTCAATTCCAATGACTTAAGCAACTCAAAAATCACTTGTCTTACTACTTCACTTGAATTTTCAACATTATGGCATCGTAGACTAGGACATGCTAGTTATGATCTTTTTAGAAAACTTTACTCAAAAGAACTTGTTGTTGGGCTACCAAAAACGAGCATACCTACTTCTCGTTTTTGTGATGCTTGCTCTCTTGGAAAACAACATAAAGTCTAGGGATGGCAACGGGTCGGGTTCGGGTCGGATAGTACTATACCCGAACCCGACCCGACTTTTAAAACCGAAACCCGAACCCGACCCGAAACCCGACTTTTTAAGCCAAAAACCCGACCCGACCCGAACACTACATTCCAACCCGAAACCCGAACCCGACTTTTAACCAATAATCAATTCAATGTACCCCAATAATTTTAAAAAGATTAAATCTATTTATTTTGCGTTTCATTTTTAATAAGGAATTATAAAAATGATTATAAATGGCATACTTGATATAGTATCACTTTGTCAAAAGATTATACGGAGTGCTCATTATATCTATAGATAGGCTTTTATTTTATAAAATATTCGGGTTTGAGTCGGGTCCGGGTCGGGTCGGGTAAAATAATAAACCCACACCCGACCCGACCCGATGTCGGGTTCAGGTAAAAAATTTCGGGTCGGGTTCGGATTATTTTATTCTCGGTTTGGGTTCGGATATTTTAGTGGTCGGTCAGGTCGGTTAAGATCGGGTTCGGGTTGAATTGCCATCCCTAATAAAGTTTCATTTAAGCCCATAAAAATGGTTTTAATGTCAAGGCTACTTGAACTATTACATATGGATTTATTTGGGCCGTAAACGTTCAAAGCCTAGGTGGAGCCAGTTTTACTTTTGTAATTGTAGATGATTTTTCTCGTTACACTTGGACTATATTACTTGCCAATAAAGATGATGCGTTTAATGCGTTTGTTAAGTTGTGCAAGAGAATCCAAAATGACAAAGGTTATGAAATAACCTCTATTAAAAGTGATAGAGGAGGAGAATACCGGAATACCGATTTTGAGACATATTGTGATGAACACGGTATTTCTCACAACTTTTCGGCTCCTAGAACACCTCAACAAAATGGAGTCGTTGAAAGGAAAAATAGGACGTTGCAAGAAATGTCAAGGACCATGTTGAATGGACACAACCTACCTCAATATTTTTGGGGAGAAGCGGTCAACACGGCATGCTACGTTCTTAACTGGGTATTACTTAGACCTATTATTAAAAAGACTCCCTATGAACTTTGGAAAGGTAGAAAACCAAATATTTCCTATTTCAAAGTTTTTGGGTGTAAATGCTATATTTTGAATACCAAGGATCATTTAGGCAAATTTGAGCCTAAATCAAATGAAGGAATTTTCCTTGGTTATTCAACAAATAATAGAGCCTATAGGGTATATAATAAATCAAATCATAAAGTAGAAGAATCTATGCATGTAAAATTTGATGAAACCGATCCCTTTAGGTCGAGTAAGGTAATTGCAGGATCAAATGAAGAAGAAGAGGAAGAAGAAATCCTGGAAATTCCTGCACAAGAAGAAGAAAGTGCAAAGAAGGAACTACCGAAGGCATACAAACACTTGAAGAATCATCCAAGAGACAATATCATTGGAGATATTGAAAAGGGAGTTAGAACTAGGAACAATTACAATCTTTGTGCACACTATGCGTTCGTTAGTCAATTTGAACCTAAGAACGTAGAAGATGCACTAAAAGATAGTGATTGGATTATATCCATGCAACTAGAGCTTGAGCAATTTGAACGCAACAAGGTTTGGGAACTAGTCGAAAGACCGGAAA